GCTGATAGATCAATGTTAGCAGATGTTGTTTCTTATGAGAACCATGAACCTTCTCCTTTTTGATATAATTGGAAAGCAAATTATGGTCATTATAGCTTAGATATTAAATTCTTTTTCTGTAGTTTCCGTCTTCTTGGGAATATCTGAGTTATGATGTTCTCAATCTCTTCAGTAGTGGTTCAGCTCAAGGATAATCTCCCTCCAAACAAAATTCACACGTGTGGCCTTGAAATTTTCTTGCTGTTTCCTAACAAGTATTTGCAGATTACCTTCCTAGGAATCTAGCTTTTTGCTGTGAAGCCTCTGAACTTTTCGCATATTGTTGCCTAAAAACCAATCCTCTTCATTAGCGGGCTATATGCCATTCTCTGGGCTGTGAGAATAGGTTGCAATGCATTAGGTAATAGTTGAAAGGAGTAGTTAACGGACATGCTTTTCTGGTTTTCCTAGAGTGGTTTCTTTTTTCTAAGACACACCATGTTGAAGTTGATTAGGTATGGCTTCGACCTTTTCTGCCTTACTGTTGCTCTTTTAGTAATGACCTTTTTTGCATTATTATTGTTGAAATATCAATATCATCTTTTATCTCCTTACTACCAACACTATATATATGATATTATCCTCCCCTCTCCTGTCTCTTTGTGCTTGTTTGAATGGAAATATGAATATGGTAGGTGTTTGGTTTTTTTTCACCTGTGTTGTGATTCACACTGAAATTTCAGCATCATTGCCGGAGGTGCGGGGGCATTTTCTGCAATAGCTGTACCCAGCAAAGAATGGTGCTACGCGGACAAGGTGATTCACCGGTGCGTATTTGTGAACCGTGCAAAAGATTAGAAGAGGCTGCACGATTTGAACTGCGATATGGTCAAAAAAGTAGAGCATCAAAAGGTACCAAACAAATAACTGGTTATACTCAGTCATTGTTACTGTGCTAATAGATAGAAATGAAGTACTGCTCGATTTAAATACAAGTGTTGTCTGTCGTAGGGAGCTCAAGATTTGCATCAAAGAGTGAGGATGAAGTTTTAAATCACCTTCTGGGTAAAGAAAGGACCTCAGATGTTCTTTCCCATGATCAACAGTCAGCAAGCACGGCATCAGGTTCAAATGTTCTAGATTTCTCTGGTAAAGATGAGGCTGGAGATGGAAGCAGTAATCAGACAGAGCAGCAGGCTGAGATGGGTTCCACTACTCCTGAAGAATTACGACAGCAAGCCATGGAAGAAAAACAGAACCACCGAACTCTAAAAGCTGCAGGTAAACCTGAAGAAGCTCTAAGGGCTTTTAAGAGGGGCAAAGAACTTGAAAGGCAGGCTGCTGCTTTGGAGATTTCTCTGAGAAAAAATCGTAAAAGAGCATTGTCGTCCAGTAATGTCACCGAGATCCAGCAAGATAATGATGCTGGCAAAGCATCTGGTAGGAAAAATAAGCTCTCTCCGCAAATTACCAAAGAGAAGGATGATCTTGCTTCTGAACTCAGAGATCTGGGATGGTCAGATATGGACCTTCGTACTGCTGACAAAAGGCCAGCAACCATGAGCCTTGAAGGTGAACTTTCTGCGCTTCTTGGAGAAGTTTCTGGAAAGACTAATCCTGAAAAGAAAATTCATGGAATGGACAAGTCACTGGTCATTGCTCATAAGAAAAAAGCACTCCAGCTGAAGCGGGAAGGGAAACTTGCTGAAGCCAAGGAAGAATTGAAGAAGGCTAAAATTCTTGAAAAGCAAATAGAAGAGCAGGAACTGTTGGGTGATGATGAAGATTCTGATGATGAGCTTTCTTCTTTAATACGTGGGCTGGATTCTGACAAATTTGATGATTTATCCACTCGATACAAACCAGATTCTAGTTATGATTTTGACAACCTTCTTGGAACTGCTGATGATATTGGTACAGATGGTAATTTTGAAGTAACTGATGATGACATGTATGACCCAGAAATAGCAGCTGCCTTGGAGTCAATGGGCTGGACTGAAGATGCCGCCGAATCTGAGGTTTCAGAAAAGCAATTCAAACCCGTTGATAGGGAAGTGCTACTAAGTGAAATTCAGTCTCTGAAAAGAGAAGCCGTTAGCCAGAAAAGGGCTGGTAAAACTAAGGAGGCAATGGAACTGCTGAAGAGGGCAAAAACACTGGAGAGTGAGCTTGAAGAACAACTAAGTAATGGTGAAGAGGATGTAAGAAAGTTCGTCGAAAGAAAGGATAAGGAGCACAAAGTAGCACCAAAGAGTAAGTCTGTGATCCAGAGAGAACTTCTTGGTATTAAAAAGAAGGCTCTTGCTTTAAGAAGGGAGGGAAGGTTAGATGAGGCTGAAGAAGAACTGGAAAGAGGCAAGATTCTTGAGAAGCAACTTGAAGATATTGATAATCCACCAAAATTTGCGCAGCCTATTGCTGGGAATAAGCGTAATGAAAGTATTACAGATATTGATGCTGGAGATGAAGATGCAGAGGTTACAGATCAAGATATGCATGACCCAACTTATCTTTCACTGCTTAATAATTTGGGCTGGCAGGATGATGAAAAAGCTAATATTCCATCTGTATCATTTCAAGGGAAAAATAATTTTTCTAATCTTAGCGAGTCCTTAACTAAGGAAGCTACGAATAACATCCAAGCTCGAGCATCTAAAAAGAGTAAAGGTGAAATCCAGAGGGAACTTCTGGGCTTGAAACGGAAGGCTCTCACATTGAGACGCCAAGGAGAGACTGAGGAGGCAGAGGAATTGATGAATGCTGCTAAAATGTTAGAAGAACAATTGGCTGAAATTGAAGAATCTATGTCTAACCCAACTAAGTCAAACGAGCAGAAAGCGCGTATAGCTATTGATTCTCCCCTTGAGAACCCACAGTTTCCAGCATCAGATTTATGGAAGAGTTCAATTGAGGATATGGAAAACAAAGTTACACGTACCCCAGAGAAACCAGAAGAGGTCTCTCAATCAGATGAGAAACCATGCATCTCTGAGTCAAAAACTGCCGAGGAAGTTAATTCTCAGCTTGATCAAAATTCCCTTCGTCAAGATATTCTGGCTCGCAAGAGGAAAGCAGTTGCGTTGAAGCGAGAAGGGAAAGTGGCAGAAGCCAAGGAGGAACTTCGACAGGCAAAACTCTTGGAGAAGCACCTTGAGGAGGAAAAGACTCTGGGTAGTAGTAGTTCCACAGTCTCAGTGGGTCCTAATACTTCACATGTTGGACAAAATGAAGCTAGCCCAAACAAAGTACCTGATATATCTCAAGTAGGACAGAAAGAAGTAAGTCCCAGCTCAGGTCCAAAGCCATTGTCTGGACGCGATCGGTTTAAATTACAACAGCAGTCTCTCAGCCACAAACGACAAGCACTTAAGTTGCGAAGGGAAGGTAGGACAGAAGAAGCCGATGCTGAATTTGAATTGGCAAAGGCTATTGAGAGCCAGTTGGAAGAAGCGTCTTCACAAGGTGCAATGCAGTCTTCTGACCTCACAGCTGAATCAGCAGAGGGTGTCAGTGTTGAGGATTTTCTTGATCCTCAGCTTTTCTCTGCTTTAAAAGCAATTGGAATTGCAGACACCTCTGTTGTACCTCGTGTCCCTGAAAGGCAGGAAACAAGAAAACCTACAAGTGGAGATACTGATAAAACTGGCACTATTGCCTCTCAAATCCTTGAAAGATCAGAGCCAAAACTACCTGAAGCACGTGTATCTGATGAATCTTCCAATGAGAGAAAGCAGTTGGAAGAGCGGGTTAAGGCAGAGAAATTAAAGGCATTAAACTTGAAACGTTCTGGAAAGCAGGCAGAGGCCTTGGACGCCCTTCGGCGGGCTAAGATGTTTGAGAAGAAGTTGAACGCTCTAGCTTCATAACAATGAAGCTGGTATAGTGGTTGTGTTTGGACAGGCTTCTCACATGGTATAAACCAACGATAAGCACGACTGGAGTTGGGATATCGGACTAGGTACTTGCCTCGTGTATACTGGTTAAGTCATTCCAATTGATGAGCTCAACGAGTGAATGATCAGAACACCAGAAACATAATAAAAAACCATTTGCTTGCCCCTGATGATTTGTTTTGTATTTTGACATGTATAATTGTTCTTTCATAAATATTTTCTTGGCATTGAGATTATAATACTTTCATCCCCAATTTAGTAGTGTCAGGGGATCCCTGTATTCTACTTCATTGTTCTTGTAGGGTTTTTTCATCTTTCATTGTTGAAGTAATGTCGGAATATGTCGATAACTTCTTGCGATACCATAAGCCTTATTTACTGCCGGACATAATACAAGTTTCAGGATATGGAAAACAGATTGATAGAAACCAAAGTTTCATACGGGATAAAAGCATTAGAAAATACAAAGAGAGACAAGTATCTCGTGTCTCCCATAACAACAATCTTTCTGCAAATAAAAGATATTCTATAGCCTGCCTACACATTACTGGATCTAGTCTTATATACAATAACAACTTCATAATTATTTAGGATAAAGACATAACTTCTAGTAATCATAAGGAATTGCCAAGCTGCTCGATCCACAACCTCCAGGAATTTGAGAAGATACAAATGATCTTTCTTCGCTTCTTCCTCCTTGAGTAAGAATAGAAGATGCGTGCCTTATCACAGATATTCTTATATACTTTATTTTTTTTATAAAACATATATTCTTATATATTTTATTTCTATTACATTGAGCTTGAAGTGTAAACAGGCATAATGAAGCATGGCATTATTTCAGGTAAGAGGAATGGGTTGAAAGAACAAGGAGAGTATCCGATCCTTTGTCTCACGATCTGGAATACCAAATCCATCTCCATGCTGGTACATGCATTGAGCAATCCTAGCTAAATTCATTGAAGTTCTTCTAAAATCCTTTGACAAGGATTCGTCCCTTAGAATGTCTCTGTTCATCTTCTTCCAAGTCTCATCAATTAATTTCTTTATGTAGTTTCGAGCATTTTCTTCACAACTCTTAGAATCATGCATGTAACATTGGATCGATTTAAGATAATCTCCTTTCTTGATTTCATCCTGAACAAAAAATGAAACAACTTTTGAGTTGTAGTATATATATCATAGAAACTTACTGATCAGGCATAATTAACTTACTGGTGAAGTTGCCAAGTCATTTGCAAGTCGAAGAATTAGCGAAGGTGAGTAAATGATGGCAGGATAATGATTTAAGCGTTGCAATTCGTCCTCCTTTATGGGGTTTGTGATGCAAAAATAAGCATGCATTATTAGTACAGGACCGGTGTTGGTTATCCAGGCGTTTCTCAGGAACTCATCCAAGCTTGGTGTATATCCTCTTTGATACCACTTCACTTCCAATAAGTAAGCTTTACACAGGTTAGCCCACTGAAATATTTTGGTACAGAACAACAATTAGGTGGGATATTCAAGAAAAACTTGGTTGAAAGAAAAAAAGGTTAATTTAGTACCTGCTTCCTTATATGTGAAATTATGCTGAACCCTTGTTCTTTGAGAATATCATAAGCCAGCTCATTCATTGAGTTGAAGAGAGCTAGGAAGCTGATTTTCATGTATTCAGGTAGCTGCTCTATTGCATTGATGTCCCATCTTCACAACATGTAAACCACAATAAATATTGATTTCATTTATTATGGATATTTATCTTTTAGGTGACATGACCTGGTAGTATAAAAATTTGGAGATCGAGCGAAAAAGATGTAAAGCATGTGGACAAACCTGTCAACAATATCAGTAAAGAGCTCAAGTTCATCCAAGGTACCATAAACATCATAAATGTCATCAATTGTTGTGAGGAGAACAGAAAGCTTTGTTGAAAGCTTTCTGCAGTATCCAAACTGAGGATTAGGAGTGAAACCAACAGCCCAGAAGAAGCCTTCCACCAATCTGTCCCTCACAAAGCTCATCTTTTTAACAAGTTTCATGTTCTTATCCCACCTGCCAGATTATTGTTCGTTCCAATTTACTAATACTATATTAACAATCTTTATGAATATATATTGTATATTTTTAGAAAGTATTTTTTACTCGCCGACCAGATATCTAAAAAAAATAAAAATTCATAAAAAAAAGAAAAGAAAAGAAGCCAAATAGTGTTTTAGTTGGTGTTTTCACTTTCAAATGTCAAATAGAAATCACCTTGACATTTGTTTTAGTTCCTCCAAGTATGTAGCTTGCACCATGTTATAGTCCAACTTTGCAAGTTCAAGTAGAAGTGGATTCATATTCTCTTTTTTGTGATAAATTTCTATAAACCATCTTGCTTCTAATCTCTCCATCCTCCAATGCACAGGCATTTCTAAAGCATGGCTTACTTGCTCATCCATCTTCTTCTTAACGTTTTCCATCAGATAATGAGTAGCGAAATCTCGAGCATTCTCCATAATGTTTTCATCTTCCATACAAAGATAGGAAGCTTCATACAAACTCAACAGTCCTTTAGTATCCTCCACAAGGGCTGTTTTGAACTTCCCTTCCTCATTCATGAAACTGCAAAATATCTCTATAAAAAGAATAAAAAAAGTAACTACTTGAGGATAAGATTTTGCTATAAGATAACTACGCAAAAGGCTAAGACATAGAAATATAAATGTATATTCTTTATATTATCAGTGTATATATTTTCATCCTGTGTGTCTGGTACTCCAGAGTCCCATTTAGGGAGTAAAATACTCCTTACCGAGTACAACTACCATTCCTAGGCATAAGCTTGAAACATCGATATAGTTAAGGATGGAGGAATACTTACCACCTACGTCTTGCCACAACTAAAAAAGAAGAAGGAAAAATTGAAATACCTTGTGGAAGATGATAGCCATGTTGTCTAAGCAGTCGAAATTCTAAAGCTGTATCATACAACTCCTCATTATGATGATCTCTTTTATTATAATTAACGTATATTTGCTTCAATACTGTATCGATTTCTTCCTCAAAGTGATAGTATATGCCAAGTCTTTGCAAAATATCAACAAGCTCAAGTTGTTCCAATGAGTTTGTCATTCTTTTCTGCAACATCTTCCTAACTTCTTCTTTTAGTTTTTCAGCTCGTTCACAATATTTTTCTTCCTGCATGATGAACAAGTTTGTCACTAATTCTTTTCTTCCCAAAAATCTATATACAAGAATTAGCATATTCATGCATGCATATAGCTATCGCGATGTAAATAAAGTTTGTAATATCGAAAATGAAAAATATATTTTGGACTTACCGCGTACAAATTAGGTCGTGATTGGACATATCCATCCTCCCAAATGCTAGGTTTGTAGTTTCCTGACCTCCTAATATCCATAGTTGATATGCAACTTTGAAGCATCTATGTCTACAATACATAAGAAAAAAGTGAGCCACATTTTCACCTTTTATAAACACAAGTGAAGTAAAGAGAGTTCTCACGTTTCAGTCCCTACTTTCGAAAAACACGTAAGAGTAGTGTAAGAAAAAACTTAATTTCATTTCGTATATTCTATACAAGTTTATAATTGACGAAATAATTCGATGCAATAATTTGAATTTAAAAAATAATAATAATTCATTATTTATATAAAGACATTTTATTTCACTTGTCAACTTGTTATTTCAAAATAAGTGACTTTCATAATCTTTTTATTTGCTACAAAATAAGCGTTTTTTTTACATATGCAAAGAAGAATCATTTTTTACTACCAAAATTACCTTTTTAATACACATGAAATTTAACACCTTATAAGAGTTGATAATTTTTTCTTCAAAAATGAGTAATTTTCTTAAGGAATATGTCCAAATTAGAAACACCACTTACTTTAAAATCGAAAAAATATTTGACAGATAAAATATCAATCCTTTCTCTTCCTTTTCCACTTTTGAATAGGTGTATAATAAAATCCCGATAGTTGAAAGTTTGAATTCAAAATCATATTGGAGTATTCACATTCTAAAATTTGATATGAGGATTTTGTCTATACTTATTAAGTACTCAATATAACCAATCTTCACTCTAGGTTAGATGTCGTGCCATGAAAATAACATTAACAATAACAATAATAATAATAATAATAATAAATTCATGTTCAATATTGCCTTTGAACAAAATATTAAGAGTACTTATTAGGAATTTCACTGGAAAAAACTTCTTCAAAAAGGTATAAATAAGACTAAATTATAAAAAAAAAATTAAAATTAATATTTTTTTATTTAGGTAAAACACGTAATAATATAAACTATGGAGAATCTTTCGAAGATAGTCGAAAGTTGACATGATGTCCGGCCAGTATTATTAGGATTTTATTAGCTAATGTTACATTAATCAACAGACAGAGAGAATCATTGGTACTTGAGCACAATATTAACCTTAAAATAGTGCTCTTTTCGATTCGAAATAAATTATTTTTTTATTAAAGGGTAATTTCATTGTTCTTTTTTTTCCCAAACTTATTTTAAAGCTAGAGATAGTTAGAAAAATGAAAGGATAATTTTGGGGGGAAAAACAAATATTAATTCACTTAGGACCATAGAAAAAATATCTGAAATTCATTTATTTTAGCTCGGAGGACGTAGTAATGTTTAGAAGAAGGAAACCACTGATTAGTGGAGTTCGAAATCTAAAGGATACAAATAATTGTCAAAAAATTTAAAGGGTATTCAATTTTTTTTTAACTAAAAGGATAAAATTGTTGACCTATTACCGATTTTATCCGAACTTTTTTCACTTCTACAAGAAAAATGTTGCAGTTTTCATTAAAAAAAAATTTAAATCGCTGCTGCCCCTAGACAGCGATTTTAGAGGGAAATTTTATTTTTATTTTTTTGAAAAATCGCTGCCAAGGCAGCGATTTCCGTGAAACTTTTTTTCTTCTATTTTAAAATTTTGGTGCCATGGCAGCTAGGCAACTATTTTAGTTAATTAATTATTTTTTAAAAAATATTACTATCATTTTATTTCTTATAATCGTATTAAGTGAAATCTTCATTAACAATTATAATGCGATTTTTATTTGACCAGAAAAAAATTAGCAATATTTAATATGATTTTTTTTAAAAAAATAATTGGCAGAAAATTAGAAAAAAAAATCACTTTTTTTTCAAAAAAATAATTAGCAGAAAATAAAAAAAACAAATCACTATGACAGAAAAAAAAAAGTGCGCTGTCCACGCAGCAATTTTCCCAAATTTTATCCACTGAAATCGCTATCTACGCGGAGATTTTCAATAATTTTTTTTAATAAAAACGTTATTGTTGTAGCGATTTTAATTTTTTTAAAAAGAAAAATTCGCAAAAAATACTGAAAAAGAAAAAAGATATGGGCAAAATCGTTGATAAATCAGCTATTTTGAAACCGTCAATAACAAATTTATCCTTTTGATTAAAAAAGAAATTGATATATCCATTTAAAAAATTTTATAATTTTTTTTTCTTAATAGGCTTCACACTCCTAATTAGTGTAAACTCCCGAGAAAATGGGGGTTGTGATAAGGTATAATACGAGGTTAATTAACGGTGCAATTAAATTAAGACAGTTCTTTGAACCTTCTTTCTTTCATAACCCAAAGTTTAATTAATAAACTCGCCGTACTACTCAAGTTGCGCTGGATACAAAGCACGAGCAATAAAGCCAAGTTGCTTTACAATTTTCCAAACAAATTAATTAATTAATTAAATAACTAATCTCCAAGAAAGATTCATGAAATTTTATCACCTAATTAATTTCCATATCTCTTTTTCTTATGTTATACGCCAAGGATCCGAAACCTTACATTCCATCATGTCTACATTCATTTACACGATTAATAGCTAAAAAGAAAAATATGTAATGGATTTACTATGTCTTTTACTATAATTTACTAATATCTATTTTTAATTGTTATGGTCATTCTTCTTTGAGTTAAATTATAAAAACTTTGACTAATACTTTATTATGTATTTTTTTATTATATTGATACATAAAAAAAAGATAATTTATAGTATTTTTTGTGTAGTTTTTGAATATCTAATTTTTATTTAAAATATTGAATTAGTGTAATCTAATTTAATTTTTAAAAATTAATCAAATTAACTTTTGGAAAGCAGAACAAGTGAACGAATATTTCATATTTACCAATTATTAAAACCTTCAAAAGTTTCTTGTAGATTCTCATATAGGTGTTAATGAACTGACATCAAATGTTTGATTAATTTTCTGTTTATAAAAGGAGTATGTTTAAGGGGATATCGCAAGGAAAATTCCTCCATTAAGTATTACTATAATGTAGAGGGTTTAATAGTGTCTACGATTTAAAAAAAGAATTAATTTAAGATCATGTTTGATTTATGTATTTATTTGGAAGGTACTTTAAGAAGTTCAAATATTAATATGTCTACTGTCTAATAAGAAGTACGGTGCATTGCATACGTAATTGATCAAATTTTCATGATATATTATTCTATCAACATTGTTCTTTGCTTCGAATTATGAAATAAAATAAAATATCTTGCCTATAATGATCGGGAAAAAAGAAATACTTAAGGGAAAAAATTGTAATTATGAGTATTGTTGAGGGTCAAACTAACAACATTAAAATTTCAAGAAGGCTAATAGAGATATGAAAATGAAAGGATTAGAAGTGATGATATCTAAAAATTAAGGGACAAAAGTGGAAAAACAGAAAAGTTGAGGGAAGTATGGAAAAATAATTACAAAAACAAAGAACTGAAGATAGATATATATAAAGAAACTAAATGCAAATGTGGAAATAACAAGTAAAGGATACTTGAGCAAAAGGCTTTAATACTGACGTTGAAACAATATAAAATGTAAGAATAAAGTCCAAACTTTATGAACTAACGTAAAAAATGTATAAATTATTCTGATAGTAATATTTTATCACAACCACGAAATATAATAATGATTACTCACATTATAAACTGATTTCTTTTTTGATATTTTTAGTTTTTCCCCTAAATTTTAACACATTTTCATCAATTTAATTCTCCATACAATAGGGAAAAGTATAATTTCAACAATTTTCATATCCTCTTAAATTACGTATATGAAAAGAATAATTCTCAGACTCTCATAAATACGTCCCAATTCCCATAAATTACTTATTATGGCCCAATACGTTATTAAGAAAACAGATATACGTATATAATTATCTTCCCTTTTCTAAAATCCTCCCAACATGTATACATACATGTTTAGAATTACATTTTCTTCCTCAATTTTCAGACTTTTAACTTCATAATTTTCATAATTAGTTCCCAATTTCAATTACTTTACTTTTAAGATAAGAATACTCATAAATGATCAAATGCATATGTAATTTGATTTATAAAACCTTTTAAGTAATTCGATTAATTATTATGTTTAAATAGATTTAACTTATATGAGTATTTGGTTTAAACATAATCTAAAAACTTTCAATAACAAACTCAAAACATCATAGACGTCGACAACTCAATAATAACGTCTATTATATATGTCTAAATGACAACTTAATGTTCATATTAATTGATGTATAGTCTTAAATTTTGAAAAATAATTTCAAGAATAAGTTAATAATAAATGTTTTTCTTATTGAATTTAAGTTATATCCACGGATAATATTAAAACAATTATACACGGATGATATCAATCTCCCCTTTTCTTGATTTCATTTTCATTGACTGAAACATTAAGTATATATGATCGATCGAAGTTTTTGACTGTAGGTTTTTAGAGAGTTGTATTACTGAACTAATTGTCTTGAAAGTAAAATTTCTACACACTGATATTGCAAAAAAAAAAAAAAGTACTATCAAGAGAACTGAAACATAATACATGAGTACACTTGCCCATGAACTGGCATGCTACAACAAGTTAAACTAGGCTAATAACGTAACAAAAGAATTAGTATCAATGTTGTATTAGTTAAATCTGTCGAATTACACTTGATTTATTTATTTATTATCGCAGTGGGCAGAAGCAAAATGGTTTATTTGTGGCAGAGTAGTAGTTGAAGAATGGGATAATAAGTTCAGTGGTGCTTATCAACCTTTACTTCCTCATGGCTTATGGATCAACTAAAGATTCTTCATCAATAGATGACTTAGCTAACACTGTGTTAAAGAATGACAAAAGTTCCACATCGGTGGTTAATGAGATGAGTGGACTCCTTATAAGGCTTGGACATCCCTTTGAGCTAGCTTTTGGAGTGTGAGTTCTTTGCCTTTTGGATGACCTCGAAAAAGATGGTAATGGTTTCTGATTCGAAAAGAGTGTTTTTTCTTCTTTTCACGCACCCCACTCCAAAGAGATCAACAATGGTTCTTCACTTACCTCCATTTAATTTGAATTGGATTTATGTCACTTGTAGCCTATATTGTACAAGTTAGATTGAGCAAAAATGTCTAGGATTATTTAAGTTTTGGCGCTTTACTACACAACAACATACCCGATGTAATCTCACAAGTGGGGTAGGAAGAGCGTAAGGTATGTACAGATCTTGTATCTACTTTTACGGGATAGAGAAGTTGTTTCCAGTACACTTAATATCTGCTCCTGTTATATTATACAGAGTGGCCAAAAATGCGAGTATAGCGGAGATGAGGATACTTAGATGGATCATGGATGTGCGGGTATACTAGGAGAGATAATTAGGAAAGAAGTTATACAACACAAGGTGGGAATGGCCTCCGTGGAAGACAAGATGAAGAAAGTGAGGCTGAGGTGGTTCGGCATGTGAAGAGGACGTGCACAGATGTGTCAATATGTAGGTGTAAGCCATAGGCTGTAGAAGAAACTAGGAGAGGTAGAGGCAGGCCAAAGAATAATTGAGGACACGACCCTAGATATAGGAAGATGTGAAAGTGGTGAATTATGGTAGAAGTAGTAGATAGCCGAGTATTGTCGCCCTTTTGATGGGAGAGGCAAGGGGCTAGGTCTAGCCCATCTTCTCACCAGCTTTATTAATAGTAGTACTTAGTAATCCTGTATTTTCTTATCCTTCAAGGTGTTAAGGTGTTACTATGTGAAATTCATTTGTTTTATATCTTGATATTTTGTTTTCATATTTTTCGTGCAACCACACTTCAAATATCTTCTCTTTGGAACCGAGGGACTACAAGAAAAGCCTCTCAACCTCGCAAAGGTAGGGTATACACATATACGAGGGAAAACTTTTGTCAAGGGATGTCCCTTCTTTTTTGTTGATGAAGGGGGTGTCGCTTTCTAATGGTTGTCTCTGCTAGTACTGATTAAGCGGAGGTGTCTCACCAACTGAGTTGGTGATGGGTTAACCATCATCCAACTTTTGTTCTAATAAGTGGTTCTAAATTTTGATAGGATGAGCATCAAGAAGGGAACGATGGATCATAAGTCGAGTACTTAATGAAAGAAGAATAGGGCTTAACTAATGAAGATGCAAGTCAACATGTTCTGGATATGGCTTCAAACACATGGGAAAATGTCAATATACAGTGCCTTCACCAAGTGCAATTCCATTGTCCTTTCAAAAGGCTTGTCTCAACGTGGCCAGAATGGTTCCTATGATGTACTTCATGTCGATAACCATTGCCTTCCTATTCTAGAAGGGCATATCAAGTCAAAAAATTGCAACACGGATGGAGAATCACAATTGAGCACATCATTGAGTTCTATGGCTCCATGGAAAATCTTACCTATAGTAATACCTATTTCCCTCAAGCATAACACGAATAATTGACCCTATCATTTGGTTCTCACTTAAGTTAGTTTATTCACATCAATAATGCTAAGCATATGAACTCTTCTCCATTCTAATTAGTAATAAATCTATTTTTTCAGTTAGTTTTAAAAAAGTAGTAGATACTATAGAATTCTCATATATGTTCATGCTGAAAATGTGAATTGATGCAGAGCAATACACAGATTTTTTTTCATGACAAATGATAAAGTATTACTCCTGCCATTTCATTTTTAAGATATTAATTAAGGAATAAAAAAGGGTGTTACTTTGGGTATTGATATAAAGGATCATTTTTATGAGGTCCTTCTCCACCACTGGCATGTTATAAAAAAGAATAAGGGAACACAAAAAAGATCATAAGTTTATTTACGTTAATGATGACAATGTAAGATCTACAATGAGATTTGAGTTGACCATTTTGGAACAATGTGACATGATGCAGCAAAAGCCTTGCTTATTTTTTTTTGCTTAATATGAGTTTTGACAAAGTATAATTAACTGGTGATTATCGCAATCCACAGCAAGCAATTTTATGCAATGCACATTAACTAGAGGAAGCAAAGAGGTCTACCTCTGGAAATTGCTAGATATTGTGAAGAATGAATCTGAAGTCCAGAATGAGATTCTTTAAATAGCCTAATTTCATTAGACTACAAAATTCATTATGATATACTAGAAATTTGGTAGCTAATATGTAAACAGGAACTAAATTTCTTTTAAGCAACATATTCATTAGCATTCCTCAAGCCTTTTATTCTTCAATCTTGAAGGGTAATTCATAAAACTCACCAACAAATCCTAAAAACATAGTTCAGCAGAAACAGTAGTGCAAGTAAACTACAGCATAAAATGTGCAACTATTAAAGAAGAAGGCAGCGAAAGTTTATACCGCGATCGGGGTCGGCAGTGGTATAGCTTACATGATTTGGCCAAGTTCACCAGCTCCTGCGCATCTTCAAGCTTGGAATGCTCAGCCAAGACATTGACTACCCTCTGCATTGTTGCATTATGAATAGCAACTTTTGAAGCAATAGCTTTCTTACACAATTCAAGCGCAAAATCAAGATTATCCTTGTCACAAGCAAAAGAAATGAGCTTCTCAAATGTTGCATAATCCGGATAACATCCATTTTCCACCATTTTCACATACCATCTTTCTGCCTCCTCCCAGTTCCTATCATCCACATACATTTTGATCATAATGTTATAACTGAAAGCTTTTGGGATGATGTCTTTCTTCCCCATCTCCTCAAACAGTTCAATCGCCTCGTTAACCTGGTTATTCGCAACCAATCCTTGTAATCTAATGGTGTAACTCCCCAAGTCAGCATCAACATTCTTCTTTTGCATCAATACCCACAAATCTTCTGCTTCAGAAAACCTTTTACTTTTATAATACGCGTTTGAAAGCGTATTGAAAGTCACTAAATCAGGTATGATTCCGTGTTTTTCCATCTCATCCATTACACTGGGAGCAGAATCCAAAGAACCAGCTTTCCATAATGCCTTAATCAAAGTATTATAGGACACTACATCAGGCTCTATGGATAGCTCCTCAGGTAATTCACGAAACAAATCGCTGATTATATCGTACTTCTCAGCCCTTGAGTAGGCCTCCAAAAGGGCATTGAAAGAAAAGACTGTTCGTTGACATTTTAAGTTTGGCATTTCGTCGAACAATTTACGGGCATGTTCATGCATTTTTACCGTACCATATAAAAGTATGAGACGGCAGACAAAGAACTCATTGCTAATTTCCGGGTATTGTTTTTGGTGTTCAAAAATGTCTTCGATAGCAGAAGAATTGAATTCAAGGCGGCGTATAGCGGCTGTATAGTTGGCGCAACGGTTTCGGAATTCAGGAGATTCAGATGATTTTTTGAAGTTGTCAATAATGCTTTGAAGTTTATGTTTTTCAGAAAGTTTGGATGTGGGTTTGGTGGAAGTTGTTTGGGGCTGTTCAGTTTTCAGATTTACACTGACTTTGCGTTTCCCGGTGAAGAGTCCGTGAAGCCGGCGATAAACGGAAGAAGAAGCCATGTGAAGCAGCGTTGAATTGGAGTTCCGTAACTGAGGTTAATCCATTTAGGAATATAGGCCTGCTCCTTTTGAAAGCCCGTTTAGAATTACCCAACATGCAATTTGAATGTTTTGAATTATATTTTTTTTTTCTTGTAGACATAAAATATTCACAACTAGTGAAAATTATAAATATTTGTGACTACGTGTTAGTATAAACTTTCGTACATATAAAATTTTACAAATATCCACTGGTCACAATGATAATTAGCCAAGTATTTTCTTAAGGAAATAAGTTTTTTTCCAGAAAATTTGGCTAGAATTATAAAATGACAAATTCATTTAGCATTAGCTTTTGTTAATATATTTATTAGGTATGATATATCTAATTTCTTCGTGTTGAGCATGAAATTTATTTATTTTTTTGATAAAAATGTTAATTTTACGTGGCAGATTTTACATTTAAAACGATCGAAAATTCAATTTGGAATTTGGAATTTGAAATCATGATTTATTAGTTGAAGTTAATTCTTTTTTACAAATTTCATAAATAAACATAGATTTAAAATTAAAACATGATAATTGAAATCCAAAAATTTATATAACTAGACTATGTTGTGTGTTTCTTTGCATCAATAAACACTATATGTAAGTAAAACCTAGATAATGATCATTTGAAATTAGAACACTTCGTAAAACACACTATTTAGGTGATCTCTTCTTATTTTTTATAACAGTGATATCTAGACTAATTAATACACACATTAATTAATTGTACCAAGGGCTTGATCATCTCAAAATTTTGTGCACACCAACAATCCAAATACCTTTTCCCTTCTAAAACTACCTTGGGGTGTAACAATAAAATCCTTGCATTCACATACTTGGCATTTTCAAGTGAGAATGTAGATTATGCAAAATTTTGCAAACATTATTAATCTCTTAATACATAAATGCAAGGATACCAACATCTAATTTATACAAGTCCAGCACCAGCATCCTTTTAAAATGTTTAGATCCTCCAACTTGATTGAATGTCAACAGTCAAAATGTAACATACTTTAACCTAAGTGCAACAAGCTAAATTTTTTGTATAGAGTATATATCCGACCATTCCTTAAACCCTTCATCACTTCACCTAGCTCAAGTAAACAATCAAATCACGTAGCTGAAAGAACTAGTTATGCTAAGGCAAGGAAAGTTCATTCCGAAAGCTCTTATAAGACTGAGCCAACTTAACCAGTTCTCTCGCAGTTTCAATCTTAGAATGCTCAACCAAACAATTGACAACCCTCTGCATTATTGTATTATGAATAGCTTTACGTGACTTCATTGCTTCCTTGCACAAATCCAGAGCAAAATCGACTTTTTTGGCGCTACAAGCAAAATTAACAAGTATGGTGAATGTTGAAACATCCGGAAGACATCCGTTTTGCGTCATCTTCTCATACCAAATGTTGACCTCCTCCAGATTCCCCTTATTAACATACATTTTTATCATAGCACTGTAACTGAAATTTATCCGGTTTGAAACCCTTGTTAACAGTCTCATCGAAGAACTGAATCGCCTTTGAAACCTCGTTGGCTTTAACCAAACTAATTAATTTAATATTGTGACTGCAAAGATCGGGGATAATATTTCTCTTTTCCATCATAGCCCACAAATTTTCAGCTTCAGAAAACCTTTTTCTTTCATAAAATGCGGTTAATGACGTGTTACAAGTGACAATATTCGGCTTAATCCCATGATTTTCAATCTCATCCATCAAATACACAGCAGAATCCAACAAACCAGCCCTGCACAGTGCCTTAATCGCAGTGGCATACGACACCAGATCAGGCTGAATTGACAATTTCGGGGGCAATTCGCGAAACAAGCCGCCAATTTCATCATATTTCTCTGATTTAAGATATGCTTCCAGTAGGGCATTGAAGGAAAAGACAGTGCGCGGACAATTTAGGTGAGGCATTTCGTCAAACAGCTTACGTGCACGATGATCCATTTTCGCTCTGCCATAGAGAAGAATAAGACGGGCAACAAAGGCTTCGTTACGAATATCAGGATACTTTTTTTTGATGTTCAATGATATCTATAATGCCGGATTTGTGTTTGGCTTCGGTAAGTTGGTGAATGGCGATTTCATAATGGAAGCGCGATTCAGTCGGAATTTGGGGCATTCCGATGATTTTTTGAAAGAGTCTACCATTGCTTGGGCTCGATCGGTGGGTCTTGAACAAGTAATGATCTGATTTATTGCTCTTTCATTTCCGGCGAAGATGCCTTTCACACGGCGGAGAGATGAAGAAGTAGACATTTGATGCTTATTTTGATTTTTGGCGCTGAGCAAGACGTTAGAAAGAAAGAAAAAATTCAATTATACCCCTAACGTTTATTATTTGGTTTATATATGGCATTTGTTAACTTACCGCATAATAGCTGAAAGAATCTGATTATTTTGGTACAATAAATTACAACAATAAAACAAAGAGCCTTATTCAACGTTGTTATGTTACGAAGGACTTATGTGATACTTCCTGAAGAGTAAAAGCTCCTATGGCCTTTTCCCATACCAGCATTATAAGTTGTTGCTTCGTATTTTTGTATTTGTATTTAATTTCTCTTTTTTATAAATAAATGATAAAATTACATTCACATCATCTACACTAGATATATTGTTGTATCATATTTTGGTTTTTGAGTGGTTAAAGTACAAAATACATACATGGAATACCATTAACTCTTTCTAGTGATTTACAAAATGAAGTTGTACTTTAAAAGAAATTATTCATGTCAGGTGTAAAAAAGAAAAAGTGAAAGGAGAATAAAATTTCTACTTAAAGCAGCTCTGGTCACTCATTTGTACTTTACAATGCCAGTAATACTAGTAACAACCACAAAGTAGTCACAAACATAACTAGCAAGAACATTACCCACTTCTATTCTTCTTTCTGTTTGATTCCTTTTCTTTCGGGTGGTTGTTACTCTTTAACCCTATAGCCTTTTACGAGTCCTCATAACGGAGGTGGGTTTTATTAAGTTGACAACTAGGCGTAAATAATCAAACCATGAGGATTCCAACTATTATGCATACTAGTTGGTTGGCGATGTCTATATTCAATCATTGTTATGCTATATGCATACTAGTTAGTATGTAAACATAAAAAAAGTACTTGTTCAACTTAGTCCCAAACAAGTTAAACTCGGGGTATATGAATATTTACTGACCATATTTCCCGTTTGAATTTATCTCTTTCGGGATAACAATAACAGTGAAAAGTGTAATTAGACCAAAACTGAAAAGGGTTGTAGTGTCTGAACCTACAAAAAAAAACTCTACACACTCTCTCTTTCTCATGCCAAAAATGAGTCCTTCCAAGACACCCCAAGTACATTGTGATCAATTAGGAAATGCCCAACAAACTACAACAAGAAGATTCCCACAACCAAGAAACGTTTCTGTTGTGAGGAGCGCACCTATATAAACCTATTCTCTGCCTACAAAAAAAAAAACCCAGTGCAGTACTGCCTCTTCTTTTAGCTGCACTCAACATATTAATCATTAGCACCAATACTCTCCATCTATAGATTTCCTTTCTAATTTAGGAATTCATTTTAACATATTTATAACAATATTCTCTTTTAAATGGTAGTAATTAGGTGTGCTAAAATGGAATTCCCCAGTACCCCATTTGATAATTCAAACAACTCTGAAGAAAGGGAAGTAGGAAGAAGAACAGATAAAAGGAAGCAAATTGATGGTGAAGTTAAAGAATACAAATCCAAGAACCTTAAGGCTGAGAGAAATAGGCGTCAAAAACTTAGCGAAAGGCTTCTTCAATTACGCTCATTGGTCCCAAACATAACAAATGCAATGAATCAAAAACCTTCATTCTTTACATAGTTTCATAAAGAATGAATTTTTTTAAAAAAAATCTAAAAAAGTTTAAATTCTTGTCTGATTTCAGATGACAAAAGAAACCATAATCACTGACGCCATCACCTACATTAGGGAGCTACAAATGAATGTGGACAACCTAAGTGAGCAGCTTCTTGAAATGGAAGCAACTCAGGGGGAGGAACTGGAGACAAAAAATGAAGAGATTATCGATACTGCAGACGAGATGGGTAAATGGGGCATAGAGGTAGGTAACTTTATGTATAAAACCAAAGTTTCAATCTTTGATATTCTTGAATTATAAGGACAGTAAAACAACTTTGATCTTTGTTTTTCTAAAACAGCCTGAAGTTCAAGTGGCTAACATTGGCCCAACTAAGCTTTGGATAAAAATAGTCTGCCAAAAGAAAAGAGGTGGATTAACTAAACTGATGGAGGCAATGAATGCTCTTGGATTTGATATAAATGACACCAGTGCCACTGCCTCTAAAGGAGCTATTCTTATTACTTCATCTGTGGAGGTAGGAGAAACATATGTTAAAAAAGTAATCTTTTTAGTAGCGATAAAGAAACTATTGCCCGAAAATATCAAGATTTGTAATAGTACAAAAAGGAGATCTTGCTTAGCACCTTGTACTGTGTGTGCTGCAATTATTAGCAACATAAACAATTTATAAATCTTTCTGTGTATTATTTCAGGTGGTTAGAGGTGGACTAACTGAAGCTAATCGAATCAGAGAGATCTTACTGGAGATCATCCACGGAATCTACTAGAACCAGCATGAAAATCCCCTAAATCTTAATAGCTTTAGTCTCATTGGAGAAATGCCAGAGTACCTCTAATTTTTAGTTATGGTGTCAAAAAAAGGATTCAATCATGTTTTCAAAATATTGTATCCAAATTGTCTGAAAAAAGCTAGTGTGAACTCTTGTTTTTGCTTTCAAATATTGATGAAACAACTTATCATATGTTACTAATTACTCTCTCCTATCTTAATTCTATAGCATTTCATATGCAGTCAAGTTTGGCTTAATTCAACTGAGGCAAACTTTGAAATAGAATATACTACTTTTTAACTTGGATTTTCCATGGTGGGATCCAGGCTCCAAATTTTTTGGCTTCTCTATATGAAACAATGAAAAAATAACATTTTTGGTCCCATATCCAGCTGAAGAAACAGCTAAATAATAAAAGCCAGCACATTAAGTGTCCTTTCTGTTTGAATATTAAACAAACACCAATATTAGACGTGTGAAGAGTGAAATTTATTTCTACCTATAATACAACAGGACATTTGTTTCACTGTCATTAAATTCTTGTTTTCTTCTCTGTTCTTTGACCAATGTCGTCCTCAATGAAGAGTCGAAAATAAGCCTGCCTTAAGCATCACCTTCCCTTGTACAGGATCCAAATAATAAAAGACTACTTGGAAAACCAAAATCAGACGTCGAATCGTCAAAATTTAATACCATGGAAAGTGTACCTACCCTTCTTATAATATTAACACGAAAAAGACTCTCACAAGTCTATATTAATAGGACTAAAACATGCACACAATTGTAGCAATATTCATATTTTCTATGGCTAGGCTTAGTTTTCTCCTCATTTGCCTAGTTATAGCTCAGGTTAACTTGCTTATGCGAAATGCTAATGCACTTAGAAAACTAGACACCTTCACAGTAGTCCCAAGTCCTGCGCCGTTTGAAGGAGGAATGGACAGAGGAAGAAGTGATCAAGCTCCAGCAATCACACATATAAGGACTCATCATTCTTTCAACAAGTTCATGGCTGGTGGAGACTTGATCCTTGGCGGCTTCGCCACTGCTCTAATTGCTTCCATTTTTTGTTACATTCGAGTCACAGGACGAAGAAACCAACATAGTCTGGGCTGAGGCACAGCATTTTTAATTTTGTACTACTTTTAGTTTCCAAATCAAATATATACACAGGGTTCATGATTTTGCTCATTTTAGATGGCTTGATAATGAAATTATTTACATTCTAGCTAGCAACATTTATATATCATGCGACAATATGTATTGTCATGTCCACTCTGATTTACTGAGTTCAAAATCTATTATTTGTACTTGTACAATGATTTACTTAACATATATACGAGTTTAAGCCAAAGTAATTAAATTCAGATGAATTCATAACACCTTCTTTGCGACAAAAAAGTCCTAAATCATCAGAAAAGAATTCTTCAACAATAGAATTGTGTATATTGTAAATAGAGGACAAAAAATAGGAAGCTGAAAAGAGAGTGCACACCATTCTAACCACTTACATTATTAACAATCAAGAGCATATATAAACCTAATCTAAAGGAGGATCTTTTGTCTTTTTTCTGCAAGAAGCTTAATATTAATCCATTATGATAATTACTTAATAGTACAATCTTCTTTAACAAATTTCCTATTCAATCAAAATTAATTATCTGACCAAACTTGTGGACCCCAAGGCAAGTTGCTGGAAAGTCTCAAGTTGATATTAACACATGGATTACAGACCCACCCTGGTCTTTTCAAGCTTAAACATCACAAATCTTTGTCTCCCACATAATAGTTATAATAATAATTTATATAATAAGGTCATGCAATTACAGCAAGGCAAAAATAAAACTTCATCATGCATATTGCTGCAAAAATGGATACAAATTAAATTGGGTAGTACCTATTTTAATATATTCCTTTTTTTCCTGTGTACAAAACATTAGCTTATCCCAAGACTCACGGGTAATTCGCTAATAGGAATTTAGCAACGCAAAATAACCGTGAGTTAGAATTACCACTTAATTAACATGTAATTCTATCTTTGACCATACCTTGCTTGGACCATGAATTTATTTAGTTTGACCATCCTACTCCATTTCCTGACATATAAATGAAAGTCAGGAGTATTTGATACGATCAAAGACGAATTCAAAATTATAATTTAGTACACGTAATGTACTGTTACTAATATTTTTTGTCCCAACAATAAGAATATAATAGCTATATCTCATTCTCAAATAGGTTGAAATTGACTGCATTAATTTTTTACCTTCTCCATTTAACTGTGAATTTGATATAAACATGTTTTGTTTGAATTTTCTATAATACATCTATTTAATTCAAATATAATGCAATTGGCTAATTATGCGCGGTGTGCAATGGCAAAGGAAGGAGATTCAATTGAATTTCTTTCGTTAAAACTCATACTACTAGTTGGATAAAAGTAAAAATAAAATGTATATACATACAGTTTTAAATTCGTCTTATTTAAATTTTTGACTCCGTCACTCGCTCTAATCCACCGTTGGTTCACATGGCACGTTGTGCTGTTTTTGTGAAGTATATATGACTTGGAGAAATGATATGAAAGTCATTCTTTGATTATTCGTGTTTATAGTAATGTGTTATTTATGAGTCAGATTTTTAGACAAGGATTTAATAATGTTTGTGGCAGACAGAGCAGGTAATGATTTGAATAGGAAACATAATTTATTTTAGGACACACCATATTTCTCTGCTTTTGGTAATTAATCATAACTCAATGTACTAGTAGCTAGTAGTATATCAATTTTTCAAGAGGCAAGAATTATTTTTTTTTTGGTAAAAAAAAAAAAAGAAAGAAGAATTCAAAATTTTGCTCTTTCCAAAACTTTATACTGTTAGTTTCCACTTTATACAACCCTACAGGCACCTAATTGAGAATCTCATTGCAAATCTCTTTTGTTGAAGCTTCATGCCTTCATCAATCAAACCCAAAATCAAAGAACACAGCCAGCAAAATTGCATTTTTGTTTTCTTAATCAGATTTCACTGACTGAATTTTTTTTTTACATCTTTCAATCTGAAATCCAGACTCCTTCCTTCCTTCCTTCCTTCTCCATTAACACACCTGCATTTCCTAATTTATGAAACGGTGTTTGTCTAGTCACAAAATTTTAAAAAATAAAAATTTTTGAGACTTGTGACCAATGGCAAATACACAGCATAAATAAGGTTAAATTATTCGTTGAAAATACTGATTCTGCCACAGGAAACAAATTAAAAGTGAAAAAAAAAACAGAGAATTGAGATAAGAATGGATTTTTTTTTAAAGATAAATAAATAAAAGGGAGTACCTTGAGGATTACAAATAGGTGGTTCTTCAAATAGAGAAAGGGACATTTGTTTATGAGCAAGGCCAATATCAAACAAGATGAGACCAGAAGAAGGATCATAAACTATGATATCTTTAACTGGTAACCAAAGAAAAAGCTCTTCTTGAGAGAGACCTTCCACTCCAATTAAACCACCATAGCTAAGATTAGCTCTTACAACACTATCAAAAAACACCCTTGTTTCAAATTTTGCAACACATGGACTATCCAAGTAGACTTGTAAGTGTCCATTTTCATCAAGATCATAGGATTTTACAGCATTTTTTGGGAATAGACCAGCTGGGAGTCCCCTGCTTCTGAGAAGCTCATGGATTGAAGTTGAAGAAATGGTGAAAGAAAAGAGGAAAATTGATAGAAAAAGTGTATATATCTTAGCCATGGCTATTTGTGAAAATTTGGTTCAAAGAGTCTGATGAAAAAAGGGACGATTTTAACAAGGTTTATGGTGTGAGGAAGTGGGCCATTAAACTCAATTATGTCTACTTAATTTCCTATTTTGCCCTTTTTAATTATTCAAGATTTTGTCCCTACATATTTTGTTAAACGATTTAAAACTCAAATCATTTACCAAAATATCTTCTTCCTCACAATGCTTTGCTCATTCATTAGTAGTGTAGTGAGCATCACAGCATACGTTTTCTTCACCGCTAATTATTAGGATTTTGTTTTATGTAATATGATTTTTTCATCGAATTCGTTCACAGAAAAATACATAATAGAAAATTATTTTTCATTAAAATAGTAAAATAACTTTATTGTTTTTTCGAATAAAAGCATTACTTTTATAACTGATTCAATCAAGTCTTTTAACGGCGTATGTAATTCAAAATAAGAATATAGTGAATTTTATGGTGTTAAGCATCCGGTTCTATGGAATTGTAGTTTTGTTAATCAATGCATTGCTAAATTGAAAACTTTGACTTCATTATTTTTATACGGTAATAAATCAAATAGCGTAAAATAAAAAAGTTTCGCTCATTCAAGTAACCAAGTTAGGAGTTTCAATACAACAAATTTCCCTTTATCCAAAAAAATAACAATTAGGATAACACTGTATTGAGTTTGTGTTAAACCATTATTTCAAATTGATATGTATATGTTCTTCCAAAAGAGTCGAAGTCATGTATTTGAGGGGGGGAAATACGTACAAGTATGAATTAAGTAGTATATCATAATCTTGTGAGTTGCAGGCTATAGTCATTTTGGGTGAATAATAATGCAAGTGGAGTTAGTATTTGGCTGAAAAGGGAAAAAATGAAAGTGAGATGGGGCCAAACCAATGTACATAATTAGGGTGAAGGGTATAAAAGGTAATATATATTGGTATTATTATAAGAAGAGAGAAGTATATGAGACACCAGACAGATAATTGGCTTAGGATTAAAGGGTGGTAATGGTTCATAGTGATATCCAATCATGGCAGAAAGAGAAGCAGACACAGCCCACAAATAGTAAGTTAGAAACTGCAATAGGTTCTTTTCATACAAAATCTCTTTTGACGGAAACTACGAGGTTTCACCTACTTTCAATCTAAAAATCTTTTATGCTTATTCTCTCTAAACTTTCGTTTCATAATTAATATATAAATATATCTTTTAATTTAATTTTATAGGATAACAACTAATATATTCTCTAATTTAAAATGTGTATAAATAGATATTTGAATTTGTATAAAGTTAAACAAGTAAATATATCAATTTACATGAAATAATACGTAAAGGATGACACATAAGAAACAAAATTGTCATGTAAAAAGTCACATAGGACGAGTGAGTTTATTTGTTTAATTTCATACAAGTTTAAGTGATTATTTATATATATTCAAAGTTAAAGACATAGATTTCAATGGAAGCTAAAAGATATACTCCCTCCGTCCGGTATTGTTTGTCATGGTTTCTATTTTTAGAGTCGAACTATAAAACTTTGACTAACGTTTTAAGATGCATTTTTTCATCATATTAATAGCAAAAAATTGTAATTTATAGTACTTTTCATATAGTTTTAGAATATTTAATTTTTTTATTTAAAATATTGAATTAATGATCTAATTTACCTTTGAAAATTAATCAAATTGACTTTCAATAAGCACAACATGACAAATATTTCTGAACGAAGAAAATAGTTACGTAACTAAACTAGTTCATATATCCTTATTCATGTTTCACGTCCTAAATCTTTACAACAAAATTATTGATAAAAAGGTACTATATTCAAATTGTTTTAACAATAAGATGGACTAAGCAATTTAAAGTGGATTGTTTATCAGACAAAATCAAATTACAATGCCTCTTCTTGAAATACTAAATTGAAAAGCAGAGGTTCATTCATTTCATTCGTAAAAAAAAAAAGTTAGGATAGAAAATACTTAATAGTTTAAAAAAAAATTTAGAGTGTCAATTTCTTTGCCATCCGATGCACTATTTAATTTTGGAGTTAAACTAATTTGGATTTATATTGAAAGTGAAGTTTGAATTTATATCGAAAGTTTTACTTTGATAAATAAAATACTCTTTACCAATATTAACTTCATTTCAAGACTTGAGCATAACTTTTAATTAAAGATGAAATATGCTTACGAATAAGATTTCTTTTCATCTATTTTGATATTGTTTGTCTTATTTTTAATAATTCAAGAGTATGTTATTATTATTATTATTATTAAGGTAAACTCATAAATATAGTCAAGATTGTAATAGTGACTTATAACATATTTATTTATGTTTCTTTTGGTGGGAAGAGTGAGAATTTAAGGCAGAAAGTACCCTAAATCGCGGGGCATTAAGACAAAGCATGGGACAGAGAAGTAATGCCATGGGTATTAAAAAAAATTAATAGTTTTAATTAGGGCTAATAATCTTAATTAACAAAAAAGATATGATTTGTAATGATTTTCTAGGCAACCACTTTATGACTTTTTATGCCTCGCCGAATTATTTTTTCGTGCATGTACTGATTGGAATGTCTTTGTGCTTGTCTTAAACCTCACTTTGCTTTTATTTCCACTTCATTCCATCATTTATTAATTACAAAAAAATAATTTATTATTCTTAATATGTATTTACTTCTTTGAAAAAGAGTTTTCGTTCAAAAATCTGTTTGAAGATGGTTTATCCTAGCTTTCACGTTCTATAATTAAAAAAAAAAATAGAGCTTACCGAACTAATTAAGGGTAAGCTCGTTACAATATTTATCTTTATTATGATTAAATTTATATTCTTATATGTTAATGGATCTTTTCGTTTCTAATGAGATTGTTGATCAAAGAGCTTGCTTCACATTCAAAGAACATTGTGAACAAATGAAATAAACAATATTAAATTAATTTAGTGTAAATGAGTGTAGTATGAAAATTTTCGACAACTCTTCTTATTTATTTGATTTTGAAATGACATGTATATATACACGTGAGCTCACTTATTGAACAATATCATTGAATATGAATGTGTGAAGAAAATTAAACTTGGTGAATTTTAAATTATTGTTCTTGTTTTTTAAAAATAACCATTGTTTCATCTATTAGAAAATTTGTTATTTTATTTTTTTCGAAAATAATTTTGCTATGAACTTTAAGTAGTAGACAAATTGGTTAGTCAGCTAAACCATGCAGTACAATTATCAAAGGAAGACAAAGAGGCTATGTCAAAGAAAGTACAACAGCTTGTCAAATAAAATATTGATTTTATTATTAAATATTTACAAATATTAACCTTCAGTGTTTGAAGTTATCGGTGAAGGATTGAAAAAATTGTATTTCCACTGAAATAATATGTTTTTCTCTCATTTTTAACTTTTTAAACTGAAATTTCTGTTTAGACACCTCAACAACTCAATATTCCTTTTTCATGTCAAGTTGTCTACTTTAAACACTCTTATGAATTTAAAGCGAAATTTATTTCGCATGGTTAGCCCTTCAAATATCAACAAATCTTGATTTGGACCTTAAGAATTTTTTAAGCATATTTAATCATCAATTATTTGATAAGCGCATTCTTTATATTTCTTACTCGGAATCTCTACAAATCTAACGAATTATTAAGTGCAAAACTGTCCAACTATCAGTACGTTAAATTTGAATTGTTAATATAGTCTAAAAATATATGAAAGGACAAAATCTCACATATTAGGTAATTGAAGTTCAATGTGTTTATTCAAATATTATAGGATCAAAATTAAAATCTACTAATAATTGAGGGACAAACAATGCAAGTTACCCTACCCTCTTTCTTTCTTCCATTTTAAACCATATTATATCATTCAAAACCATACTACGTACATTTTGTTTATATATAAAAATATAGCTGGATAACTAATTAATATTTATTTTCTAAAGCCACCTTTATTTGGTTAGAGTTTTAAAAAAATTGTTAACTACACGTAGCTCCACGAAAGTTGAATTATGTAAAGATGTGAACTTATGAGCTCCAGCTCTCAGACCATTCCATATATATTTATTTTAGATTTTATGGTCTTTTGTCCTACGTGAACAGGCGGCCCTACGTGGATGTCGGGATTCGTCTGAATTTCTTATCAAAAAATTATATTGTATATATAAGATAGATGTTTAATTTTTTATTTTTTTTTGTGTATATATACTAATTTTGAATTATCTCAATCAAAGAAAAGAGATAGTAAGCAATATTGGACTTTGCAAACACGAAATGCTCCGTATATCATATTGTTTTTGCCTTTTTTTCGGTCGCATTAACGTCTGGTATTAGTTATTCTCATGTGTGCTCAGATGTTTCCTTAAAAGATCTCTCCTTTTAGTTGAGTGTTTTAAGATATTTAGATAAATAACCTGAAGGATGATTTGCACTCTTAGTCCCAATAATACCAACAAAATTTAATTTTAATTACCCAGATTTAACTTTAAATTTGAAATGTGCAATTTTAATTTTTCTATCTGTGAAACGCAATGATTTATTATAGTCAATTCATTAAATTATTCCTCAAACTTGTATTCTTGCCTCATTTTTTCAGAAATAATCTAAATAAAACATATAACGGGAATTTATAATCAAAGGGTAATGCAGTTCAGCCGCATAATTGCAAGTTACTAATAATTGAGGGATCAAAAGTGTAATTAACAGTTGCAATAATGATAATGACTAAAAGGAAAAAAGGAAAAGCTACACAGCCTAACTATGATAAGATTTATATTTATTTTATTATTTGAAGCATTAAGGTATTTCTTTACCAATCCTTCATTAAATCAAAGTTGTTGCTGATGATTATAGTAACTTTGATTGCTATAAACACAATCCCAATCTCCTCCATCACCACCATATCCATAAGGATTCCCAAACAGATAATCTGCAGTACATTTCCATTGTTCATTGTAGCTGCTGCTGTTATCTTCAACAACATTTGCACAGTTGCAATTTCTTCTCTGAGTTTCCTTAGCTATGCAAGGCCAGTAACCAAATAAGCTCTCACATAAATCCATGGATTCCAAACCTGAACCATATGGAATTTGTTGCAATTGCCTCCCATAATCATATCCATATTCCCCTATACTCCCATTATCAACTACAAAATCTTGATCTTGTTGAAGGGGTTCTACTGGTTTTTCAAGAATGGGTTTTTCCCCTGTTTTCCCATTATCGATTACAAAATCTTGATCTTGTTGAGCAGGTTTTCCAAAACTGGTTTTTTCTTTCACACCAGATGAAGATTTTTGCTCATCTTTAACACCATTCCCTTTCTTTTGATTCTGAAGTTGTTCTAGCTGATTGGCGTGATTTACATAGGGCAAATTATTTGATCCATAGTCGAAACCATCTAATGGAAGTCCATTAGACTTGAGGGTCGAACGAGGATAACATATTTCATTTGAGGGAGGAAGGGGTTTTCCATAGGTTTGCGCCATATCAAAACCACCATCATAAGGGGTTGGATCATATTCATCAAACTGAGTATCATCCAGTTCTTTGGTATAACAAGAAATTACAGTTCTTGTCTCCAATGAATCAGCCCCCTTTTCATATTGGATAAGTTTTGGCTCAACAGAGTTGTGTACAGAGTAAGTGAATTGTGGATGTATTTGAGTAGTATGGTAGTAATTGTAATTAGTACTTTGCCCATAGGAAGGATATGACATTGGAAAAGCATCATAATCATAAGAGACATTAAAATTAGGAGTCCAATGGTACTCACCAGCATCATCATCATTGTAGCCATAGAAAGCCATCTATTGAACCTTCAATTTTCTATCATGTGTGTAATTCTCTAATGTATATATGGATACAAATTCAGCAATATGCTAAATGGATATACACTGATATAGAAAAAAAGAACATGGGAGTGTAAAGTGATTGGTTAGGCTGATGGTATAATAGTGTAAGCAGATAAGAACATAAAGTGTGTGATTGTTATGCAATTAGACAAGCATGTCATGATTGATGAAATAGATGGCTCACCTTACCTTCCTGTCAATGCAACTGGCTGAGTGGAGTAATATAGAGTGACACGTTTTGTTGCACCGATTACTTTATGGATACGTATTATATCTGTATGTGTAGTAGTTAATACGTGTATATCAATTGTTGTTGGTACTTACTTTTAAATGTATTTTAAAAAATATCTGTAAAATAAGCCTACAACTCTATCACTCTTGTGTAGAATCAGTAAGGGCAATTGAGAATCATAAATAGGAGGTAAACATAGAAAAGCTAAGTGAATTTAATATCCAAGTAATATTTTTTTATATGTATAGTTTAATTTTCTGAAGAAGAAAGATCAAACTCTCTTAACTCCGTAGCGTAGGAAATGGAGACATCTCAATCAAGATTTTAATAAAAAGCCACTTCCCCTTGCTGTGATAATTTGTTTGCTATTTTTTAGATATTTGAAGAAATTTTCCAAGTATGACATAGGTTCAATATGAGTAGTTCAACAAGGTTGTAAGAGCATAGTTCAATTACAGAAATTGTACCATTAATTAGTAGAGTTCAATGTAAAAAATTGAAGGCCTACCTTGGGTGGGGGGGGGGGAAAGTACTGCGTTATGGCTCTTTGTAAATTACAGAAATTGTACCATTAGTAGAGTTCAATATAACTTGCAGGCTTGCGCCATTGTCCAAAAGTTTAGTGAACCAAGCAATTCGAGGGGGCAACTCAATAGGAACAACATTATGTTGCTCCTTTTGAATTACTGTAAATGACATCATGCAGTTCACTAGAAAGTAACAACGCACTAACATAATTTGTTAGGTTTCAGCTGCATTTAAGTTTCTTCATTCAACATTTACATTCAGTTTAAGAAGTAAATTTCCTTCCAAGAAGGTGCATCTTTCTATCATCTGCATGATCTAATTTGTAAGCATAGCACACGTCGAGATATATGAACCAGCAGAAAATTATAATGAGTCATCACGTACATTTTCAGGCTTTGAACCAGCAGAATATTATAATGGTAAGATCAAAACTACATACTGACACGGCTTTCTTTCACATTCTCAATAATGCAACCAGAAAGCTAGTCTAGAGGAAAGAAAGATAAACAACAAATGCAGTCAACCAAACACCTGCACTAGCAGTGTATTTCCATCTAACCTTTAAGCACCAACATATCTTTGTTAAATTGCCCACCAATATGCGACTATGAATGATATATTGGCAATTCGCCTCTAAGATCAGATAACCCCTGCCAAAAAAAGATACAAGCTTAGCAACAGAATGAACTTATAGACTTAATAAACAGTGGAACGGGGTATGGTTTTCCTAACAGAATAAATTTCAATTCATTCAGCCTTATGAGAAGGGATTAAGGTTTAACTTTATGCCAACCACAACAAATCGGATAAAACTGTGAGTTCTCTGTTTCTTTAGTGAGTGTCAAGAAAAAGACCAAGGCACTTACAAAATGCATCATAATAGTTTTAGGAGGAAGACTCGGGAGCTGCTGCTCGTCTTGTACGTTCAGGCGGAGGACCATCTCTTCTTCTTACATATGCTTTACTCTTGCTTCTTGTTCTGTTAGCCTGTTTGGGTTGGTAAGTAGGATACTGACAAGGAATTATTTCTCCATTGATGTACTTATCTCCTGAAAGAAGAAAGCACATAGAGGTTATCTTGCTGTAGAATCACAAGTGAAACTGAGCTCAAAGGAAGAAACTTCTTAAGAAATTTAACCTCCATAGTCCTTGTTCTTCACATCTATATAAGAATCGGGCAGGACCCATAGAACTCCAGGTAGACCTACAAGATGAATATCCAAATACAAAAACGAACAAGTGAATACCAGAAGTCTGGATGTCCAGCATCTCATATGTTGAAAAAGGAAAAGTTTGAACTCACCCTTAAACTTCTCTGATGTTTCTTCCGAAACAGTGCACTGAAATCCAGTGTAAGTGGTAGTACTAAAGGCATACATGTTCTTCTTTGCCTCTTCCATACTGATACGAAGAATTTGATTAATAAGCCAACAAAAACTCTGCTGGTTAACAAGAACATGATCTATTCTGCTAGACCAAACTAATCACAAATCCTACCAAAATTTTATCAGTAACTACTTGGTCAATATCAACAACTCTATGTTTCTACCACCCTCTTACGAAATTACTTAGTACTTTTACAGGACAGGAGTAACCGAAACTTGTGTATACCTAGTAAACTGGATTTATTGATTAGCATAACATTAATATTTTAACTAAAGAAGGCTTCAAGTTCTTGGGATGGACTATCTTAGAAGTCCACAATTTGGACAATCTAATCCTATGCCTAAAGATATCATCTTTGTTCACAGTTTACAGTTAATTATTCTGTAATTAGTCACCACAAAGAACATAACATGGAATACATTCACTAAGGAAAATTATCAAACACATTCAAAATCATATAACTTAAGTAACTAATTGCCAAGACAAAAACTTCCAGAGCAATACTCAAACCCCCAAATTAAATCCCATAAAAACAAGAAATAACAATATATTACAAAACTAACCTTCCAAGAACGGTGGCTAGAGTGTCAAGATAAGTATCAATCATCTGTTCTCTAGTAGGAGCAGGGTCTTTAGGGAACTCCATAACAATAAGCCAGTGGTTATAATCACATCCAGGTAACATAATAGTTTCCCTTTCGTCGCTGTTACTGCTCCTCTTAGAAGAGTATTCCCCATCAGAAATGGCTCTTACAACTGGGAATCTTGAACTTGTTGATGGTGGAATTGAAGAGAGAGAGGTGGTGAGAAAAGGGTAGGAAAGAGAAAGAAGAAAAGTTGGGGTTTTAGGGAGGTTTTGGAATTGAGAATTAGGGTTTAAGGTTTTGGAAAAAGAAGGAAGTTTGAGAGCTGCCATGGCAACTGTAAGAGGGGAAAATGAAGTGATAAGGGGATTTGGCTTTGGATTTTCTTATTAGATCCCTCTTTGGCCTTTGCTCATTCAAAAATATCTTTTCACTCGAGGTCCTTATCTTTTTTTCATTTTTTACTTTCTTCGTGTTTTTTTTTTTTTAGCTTTTGAAAATATCTTTTTCACCGGTAATTTTGCTACATAGTGATTCATATTTGGAAAGTGATATTATTTATGTTTGTTTTAGAATTACAAATCACCTAATTTTACTCTTTTTTCAGAATATATTTTATACAAAAAAAAAACATTTATCTCTCATTCTAGGATGTCGTTTCTCATTTTTTAATTTATTAGTAAATTTTTTTTGGATTGTTTAAGTGTTTGTGCCATTATTTATACAATATTTTTTGTTTATTTGTTTGTACTTTTTTTATTTGAAAAAATTATTTAGTTTGTTCTATCTTATCTTAATTAGTGGATAATTTTTTCTAAAATTATAGAATATGTTTTGGTTATAACTCTTAGTTTTAAATTCATATTTTTTTAGTAATATCTTTATTATTTCGGATATTGATAATATTTTGTAGCTATTTTAAGTAGGAAATCAACTATCGATGATGAAAAATATTTTAATTATGGACCTTTTTACATTAAATTTGTGCAAATAAAAAGTAACTAACAACTTAAAATATCTATAATCATATTAAAATTTCATTAACTTTCTAAAATTCTATCGATATCACATAAATTAAAATAATAGATATTGGGTTCGTGCTATCATAGATGTGTATATCTAGTTTTAGGCTTACATGTAACTGTTGAATTTTACTTCTTCAAAGTACAGAGTTCTAAATCAATATTACATATATTTTTAGTAATTTTAAAATCTTAAATATAATTAAATATATTTTTAGTAATTTTAAAATCTTAAATATAATTAAGTTCTGTGAAGCCTAAGGTTATCTCCGCTCTCAATTTCTTATGAGAATCGACATGATTTTATCTTCACAATTGACAAGGAGATTATTTGTATGAAGAAAATCACACACATAATAAATATCAAGTGTGTACTAATAAATTACTTTTATAACATATTATTTTTCAAGTTAATAATAAAAAATGCTTAATTAAATATTACTATCCATGAATTTCGTATTTCAATTTTCTATTATTTCCTTTATTTATCTAAATTATTTTTTTCTTTGTATTAAAATAAACCTCAATTTATAATGATGGTTAACTGTTTGAAATAAATTAGTATTAGGAGCCTACATACATCTAAAGAATAAACGTGACATGACATTTCATTAGGAGAGAGCTAATATTTTTTTTGTGTGTGTCAAGTATATTATGAAAAAAAAAGAGGTAAAGTTGTGTGATATTGTACTCCTAAAACAAAGATAAGTGATATTATTAGGTATTTTCTCAAACATGGATTACTATCTAATGAAATTACTAATTTTTCACTTAATCGAGCTTACAAGCATATTAAGATATCACAAAGTTAAATTTTTTTTTTTGAGGTATTTCTCAAACTAACATCTTTGTCGCAAAAGAGTTGTCAAGCAAGTGAAAAAATTGAATAAAAGAAAGAACCACAACATACAATACAAGTACATGAAAAGGTAAAAGGCAATTTAATACCAATATAGATCATGGTAAATATTTTTTTAATTCTTAAGACCTCTGATTCGAATTTTCTTAAATATGGAATAGCCTAGTAAACATTTATTCAATATGTAGAACTTTTTTTGTGTGAGACTAACTTTAGTTGAACTTAATGTGAAAATGGACACTGAATATGAAAAAAAGACACTTTATTGGAAATTTGGAGCACAATACATTTGCTAGATTTTCATATATTTAAAGTTTTATTGTTCGATAATGAATATTTCTTCGAAAATATATTGAACAAAATTTATACACAAGTCCTTAAGAACCTACACCTAGTGAAATTTTAGGGAGCAAATTTCTGAGTTTCATCAACAGCCCAATATCTTCTTGGCCTACTAAGCTTTGGACATTCTCCGTTGGGTTTCCAAAATAGGGCCTCCTAGCATATTCACTTTAGGCCCATTAGAAAGTGTCACACGGAGAGTAAAAAATTTGGGATAATTGTTTAGAATAACAAATTAATAATGTAAAATAAATACAATAATTATCATTTAATTTATTTGTGTTCTTTAGCAAACAGTTTGCTAGTGTCGCTCTCCTCTCTCACTTTATACAGTAAAATTGTATAAATTGTGTTTTTGTTTGTATAAAGCGACAGAAAATTATATATACACATACAAATACATATATCTCCGTCCTATATACTTATAATTTTACAATACAAATATTTTTCTGTCCAAGTCTCTTTTGCCTTTCTCTCTTTCTTGTTTTATACAAATTCAAATTGTATATAATTTCTCTCTTTCTCGTTTTATACAATTCGATTCAATTGTATATTCCCTGCCCAAGTCTCTTTTGTCTTTCTCTCTTTCTCGTTTTATACATATTCAAATTGTATATAATTTCTCTCTTTCTCATTTTATACAATTCGATTCAAATGTATACAAATCTGAAGAGGAGCCAACGAATTATATAATTGCTTCTTTGTATAAATATATAGCGAAATAGGCATAACTTTCAGTTGTATATGTGAAGCGAATTATACATAAAATGTTTGCTATGGAGCGCAATTATGCAAACTTTGTTATAACATACAAATTTGAATTTTGTATTTGTTATATGTGAAAGTTTTCAAAATTTGGTAAGGAGGATGACACAATTGGCCCAAATGTAATCCAATCTTCTTTTATAGCGAGAGTTCAATACACGAAACTTTAAAAGAAAGCATAGTGTCACGGACTTAGAATTTTTACTAAAGCTTCGTCCGGTACTTGTCAACTTACTCGCGATTTTTTCACAATCTAGTGTCACGTCCTGTCAATTCTAAGTAAGATTTTGCATTCGTATAGGGGCGGAAGAATCTAGAATTTGGAGAAGTTTATAGATAACTCTAGAAGCCCTTAGATAATTCAAGAAGGCTTTAGAGAGTTCTAAAAGAAAGACTAGATATTTTTTAGAAAAGTTTTAGAATTTCGTAGAAAGTGTAGATAATTCTGAACATAGACCAAAGTGTAAATATTTAAGAATTTGTATAGTAATTTTTATTTACACTTTAGCTCCTTAGAAAATAGTATAAATAGAGAAAATGTGATTTATAAATCTTCCAGCAAAATTGTAAGCAATCTTAAGTCTTCTTCCAAATCCTTTAGTAAACACTCAATAGGATCTCATATTATTTACCAACAGTAGTGGCTAGATTTTGTAACCTATGATATAAGATCAAGTCAAATTTGGAGTCAAATTTGGGTTCAATCTTTTGTAGGGCTTGTGAACAACATCATGTGTTGACAAAGAATTTAGTTAATAAAAAAATCCAATTTTAAATTAAGCTTTTGGTGAAAATCCAACATGCTTGTACCTGGAATTAAATATACTTATTCTTTAACCACTTTATACCTCAATTGATTTGTACCAAGCTTTTCTAACCACACTTTCCAGAAGGGAATAATAAATAATTGTTGCTTATAATTTTTTTAATCACTTAATTATCAGATCGAATCTTATTTTTTAACTTGGTAGTTTATTTATTTTTTATGCAATTCAATTAATATGTGGACAATTTAATTAACATTAACAAATATGTAAGGTCACATAAACAAATTCTTTTTAATCTTTTTCATGGCCATAGTTTTTTCTATCTTAGTTATTAATTAATTGATACTTAAATCCCTTAAGATAAGAGTTGTTTCAATTTTGAGTAGTACAATTAGTTTCCTACTTATTTATTAACAAAACATCTTATCCTGCCCCTAATCTATGGAATTTGGTTTTTGAAGACCTCGTACTTTTTCTTGTATATAATATCGATTTGTCATTTGATTTGGCCCTTGGTTTGTTAGAGAGTTGGAAATTATAGTTTTATAGTACTTTCTCAGGTGAAATAATTCATAAAGTGTACAAATTAATTCGGATTATTGTCCTTTGTGGATACTAACTACAAAGGGTCAAAAAAAGTGACATAATTTTGTAGAATTATGAGTCATCTTAATTATGATCTTTTTACAATATAAGTTTTGTTCTATTATGGACATTAGAAACTTTGAACAAAAAATAAAATTCACAAGAGCAGTTTAACAATTCCCTTGGGAGTTAATTGTCATGTTGTTCTTGGAAGTGATAACATTGACATTCCTTCTCTTTATTTTTTTTTTCCTTTTTGGGGATAAGGGATTTGATCACCTTATTGTTTGACTAATGGAAAGGATATAAATATTTGCACAAATATAATTAATATATTAAAACTACCTTAGCTTAAATGACAATCTGTAATTACGTAGGTAAAATACTTTATTCAAGATATTTTATATTTTTATTGAATGTACGTTATATTCTAGTCAGTTGGTTTGTTTTTTGAAATTTATCGGCTAAATTTATCGGTGATCGATTTATAGACATGCTAAATTGTTATAGAATTATTAATACATTGGCGTAGTAATTATCTTTTCATCAATTATTGATCACGTTATCAATTCGGTTCTTGATTGAATCATTAAGCTTGACAAAAAGATAATAATTTAAAATCACTTAAAAATATGTTGACAAACAAATTGAACCACGTGGATGTCTGAGTTGACAGATTGCATCTTAGTCAAAAATAATCATTAGCACATTTTAGAATAATCGAAAGTTCTACGGCAGATATAAAACTAAATCATAAGTCAAAAATTTTATGTAACAATGAATAAATATAATTAATTTTTTAACTAATGAATTATTTCTGAAAAAATCTTTAAATCGTTGAAAATCGATAAATCGATGATACAAAAAATTAAAATTATTATTAAGACCGCTAAATTAATAACTTTTTTGGATGCCATTTTATTTAATCTTTAGTGTGACATCAAATTCGTGGGAGGATACATTTCATACTTTAATTCCCTTTTAACAAAAGGTAAATTAAGCATGTATGATGTGTGTATTCATCGACAAATATTAAACTTTTAAACATGAATTATTACGTTAAAAACAA